GGAGGGCAATGGTTTTAGTAATTCTGTTCTATGTGTAATTACAAGGCAGCTTACTGCAATGGGAGGACTCAGGCTGTTCTGTCCTGCCGATCTATAACTGCCAGGGCTGATAGAGAGGTCCGAGACTACTGGGCGGTCCATCCCATACACACGATAGGCAGGTTGACCAAATGAAAATGATGCAACATCTAAGCCTGCGTTATCCCTACACCCAGTGGCCAGGCATCTAGTCATTTTTTAACTAACACTGATGACATTTAAAGATATAGGATTTCTGAAAAAAATATATGTAGTTAAGCTACTGGGAAAAATGTTATAGTATAGTATGTTTTTATTTTATTTATAGTTGTTCACATTAAATAAAATAAAAAGGCAGCAACCTAACACCTTACACACACTCGTGATGAGTGCCTTTTTACCCGGTATTTTTCCCAACACAATGCACAGTAATATTCAGGAAGACAGATGTCATGGGAGTACTGTACCTTTCACTACATTATGCAGCTTCTCCAGATGACCATGTTCCTTCCCATTATAAATTACAGCTTCCACAGAGAAGATCAGCTTGGGCTGAATTTGGGAAAATCTGTCCAGGACTCCCTACATTGAAGTACAAGAGACAAACAGTAATTACAACACTGAGCTGCATACAGGAAATAATGCAACAAGTTAGTGTCCTTATTTATTAGGACAGAACAAAGAGGTAAGGTGCAGTAAATAATGGCAACCAATAAAGTTTTACCCTTTATCAGCTCAGACCAGTTAGGACAGTAAATGGTAATACTATCACAGTGGATATTGAAGCAATTATAGAGCTTATTACAACTCAGTGTTGATTTTGATACACAAAGCTTTGCATAAATATCCACTGACAAATTGCATTGACGACATTTTTTTACATTTATCAGCTAGCATTACAATAGATGCAATTGGTCTTTTTACCACCTAACTCCTAAAGCATAATTGGCTGATTTAAAGTCCAAAATATTTTAATTGTAACGCAAACGTTAATCAATAACAAAGACATCTGAAATACCAAAGCCATAATAACTCTCTAGGTAGAACCCCATTTTTCATGTCTTGCTAAGACTCAGTTGGATCGAGTGCTGGGGTAGTCTAAGGCATTCAGGTTCTTCATTTCCAACCACTCTAGCTTTGACTGTGTGTTTAGGCTTCCTGCCCTGCTGGTATGGTAAACCACCCCAACTCAGGTCTGAAGCAGTTTTTCCTTTACATTTGACATTTATGTGGCTCTATATCTTGCCCTCTATCTTGATGTTTCCAAGTCCCTGCTGATTGAAAGCATTATCCCAACCTGATGCCACCATTGCCATGTTTTTCTATAGAGAAGGTGTTCTCAGAGAGATTCCAGCTACACGTATTACTTTGTGCCAAGACCCAAAAAATAGAACTACAATTCTATGAGCCATCATGAGAAGGAGCAGTAAAGTACGACTACTGTGGAGAGGACAAGAAGCAGAACCTGCATTTGTAATGACTGCCTATACAATTACAAATTATACAATGGAGGGGAGCACTGGGAGCCAATCAAGTATGCAGCATATATGCAGACAAGGAACTTGCTCACAGAAGAGGAGAACAAAGTGAGCAGAGGGACAGTCTGCTGCTGCTCAGTCAACGTCCAATCACAGGCTGGGGGCATGGAGGAGAACAGCAAAAGTAAAATGTTAGGTCATCTGCCCAGATGTACAGTCTGACAGGGATGTGTGAATCTCTAGAATGAATGAACAGAAAAACAGTTCCTATACATGTATTTGAAATGTATATACTGTAGGTACATATATATATATATA